TGGGCTGCACCGATTGTGATGGTAAAGAAGTTAAACGACAGTGCCCGTCTGTGCTGATTACCTTACTGGACTGAATGATGCTCAAGAACCCCACTAGTATCCCTTGCCTATACCTGATGATTTTTTCTCTAAGCTAAATGGAGGCAAGGTGTTTGAAAACCTGGATTTGTCGGAAGCTTATTTACAGATTCCTGTCGCTGATGAAAGTAGAGATCTGCTTACTATAAACACACATAAGGGCCTATTTCGATATAATCGGTTACCTTTCGGAGTCAAAACGGCGCTTTCCATACTTCAACAGGTGATGGATACTATGCTACATGATCTCCCTGGCGTTGCAGCTTACCTAGATGACATAATAATTATGGGCGTTGATAGAATAGACTTAGAAAAGAAGCTCGACCAGGTGCTATCAAGAATAGCTGAATATGGATTCCGGCTTCGGTTCGAAAAATGCGACTTTCGCATGCAGAGTGTACGCTACCTCGGTTTTATTATCGATAAAGACGGGATAAAACCAGATCCAGAAAGCACTTAAGCTTTGAAAGCAATGCCGAGACCGACAGATGTTCCCAAACTTCGGTCCTTTTTGAACTAGTTAGTCATTATGGAGCTTTTATCCCTGACCTTCATCGTCTACGCGCCCCATTAAACAGTCTTTTAACAAAGAACGTAAAGTGGCGTTGGTCCAAAATTTGTCAAAATGCTTTCGAGAAGATTAAAAAACTGCTACTCTCGGATCTGTCGCTGACACACCCATCCCTTCCTATTGTAGTAGCGTCAGATGCTTCAAACTACGGTATTGGAGCAAGCATTTCGCATATCATGCCTGATGGATCAGAGAAGGCAATCTCGCATGCAGCAAGGTCTTTAACTACAGCAGAACGTAACTATAGTCAGATTGAGAAAGAAGCATTGTAAATTATTTTTGCTGTAAGAAACTTTCTCTAAGCTAAAAACCGTGTTTGACGCCGGTCTTCGTTTTGAATTAGTTTGTGGAGCTTCCTCCACGCCTGAATTTTCAGTTTGTTCCTTCGTAAGAATTATTGGTATGGTTACTATCCTCCTATGTAGACAAAACTGTTGAAGAATATTCAATAATGTCACCCTGTCTGTGATTTCTCGTTTTCAAAGAGGTTGATGAACAGTGATGAGATTTAACCAGTTGATTGTTCGTCATTCATCCATAGTGTTATAATCTGTAAATAAAGCACCAATGGAAGAATCCTCTTCGCCAGCTACTTAACTAAGTAACATAGCTGTACCCTGGATGCGTTAATATTCAGTGGTAGATTTCACCACACATTTCACTCGTATAACGTGTTTATGAATTATAGGATTATCTATGAAATACGGTTTCTTCGGTATAAGATGAAACAGGAATACCTCTTTTAGGTTTTATTAAAACAGAGAGTGTTTAGCTCTTCAAAAAAGTGAGCATAAGCAGCTAATGAACGTTGAGGAGAATAACGAACCATTCACACTTTATTATGTAACCCTATCAGCTATATATATATATATATATATATATATATATATTATGTGCTCACCATAAAAATATATGCTTTCAATGAGACTGCACTTGATGGACTGTCATTTAATGATGCCAAAATGACCTTTAGAAAATTCACCTACTTACTTAGATCATTCGAGTGCTATCAAATAGTGCGAGGAAAAACAGCTAGTAGTTAAGCTTAAGAATTAGAGTTAGGGTCTTCATCACCAACTAACATCACTTACAGTGCCAAAACGTTACTTAAACTTGCGGATAGATTGATTTCGCGCTCAGATGCGAGACAATTTAAATTGTATATTATTATCTTGTCCACAAATCATTGTTTCGACTTCGCTTTTTCTGATACATACACTGCGCTACTCTGAGTGAAAGAAGGACCAGAAATAATTTGCACTGTACTGAAGATAATGGTTGACAAAGGAAACTGAGGCAAACGTTTGCGGTGTAAGAACTTTATAATTCTGTAGTCGTCTAGATACTAGATACTATTAAAATCAATCAAAAGTGAAATAGTTTATCATTTAAAATGTTAGGTATATTTGAATGAAATGTCACTATATTGCAGAGAGCAATCACCAGATAGCTGAAATTCCCAATCGTTAACTTAAGATTCGAAATCCCTAATTTTCTAAACTATTACTAGACGATGCAAAATACAACAGTTATTAAACCTCTGACAAAGACCTCTAACTGATCAATCAGAGAAATTTAAGTGTGTCAAAGAAAGGACAGTCGTCAGTAAGTATCGTATAGGTATATATCTACTGCTTCAAAGTAAAGAAATAGCGTTAAGGCTAATGCAGGGGAGATACGATACGAAACCATAACATAAAGTTCCGAGAAACTAAAGTAACATTGGAATCAAGGACGGGAATACCTAAATGATAAATAGGAATGGAGGGGCTGATGACATTCATTGTTAATTCGTTATACTTTGGAAACGGCCAGTCGTCAGTAAGCTATCTTGCTTGATATTTTTATTAAAGCTTGTCACAAGAATAAAACATATGCGTTCCCGCGTGTAATAAGCTCTCACTGATGATATTTCGAATCAGATACCTAACTTAACCATCGATTCCGAACTTTTCCGTTTTTAAATCGAACGTTTAGGAAGAATACTTCGCGAAAAACTTCACTGGAATCAACAGACTACGTTTTAATAATATATATATATATATATATATATATATATATATATATATGTATATATTGATGCAGTCTACTCTTCGGCTGCACTGAGAACATGACGCAAATAAGAGTAATTTACTCAAAAAGGATAATTCCTTTGTTGAAAACTATTCCGTACCGCTTAAGTTAACGACAGTTACACTAAGCATTCATGCAAATGTTGGAAGGAACTAATTTTGCTTAGCTACAACCTTTTGAAAGCAGTGTTATAAAGTAATATGGACCCCAAATACTAAAGATATTCAAATTAATTGCTTGGAGGATATTGGACTAATTATGTAGCTAAACCATAGAACTATGTAAAAAAAGACAATAACGGAGGGCTCTCAGAGACGCGCTATTTCCTTTGATCTTAAAATTTGTAACTGTTTGTCATCTCGGAGGACATCATCACGGTCAAAATTCATTACCCTAAACAACCCTAACATCTACATTTTTCGTACACATATTAGTATAGAATACAAATTGTTTAGAGGATACTGATAATAGGTAACAAATTATCTGTATTCCGTAGAACATAACAAGCCTTTCACATATGGAGTGCCTGTATTTAGTCACCAACAAGTGTCGAATCACTGTCGAATATCTGCAAGCCAAATTTAGAACAAGAGGCTGGGAAATGATAAATGCACAACACTGTATTTAACCAGAAATGAGTTAGACATTATTAGGGCATTTCATTTCCCCTTTTAATTGACTGTTTCGATTTATTCACTCGAGGCATTCATTCATGGACGCCTGCTTTAGTCTAAATAACTCAACCCTACAATATTCAGGTTTTTATACATCTGATATCGTATCCAGCCTGGTAGGTGTTCATTAGCTCATCGCTACGACAGAGTGAGTCTGTATAGAAAATGACGTAAGGTAATACGTTTTAGACAATCTTATCTTGCAAGTTCACACCTTTAGGATAGTTTTACTTTTTGGTTGAAAAATATAGGCTTTTGTACCGAAAATAAACCACAATCATCCCTTTCGTAAAGCTTGAATCAAAAACAGCTCCATCCAGTTAAGATGTATTCCATTTATTTTGGTTGAATTTCTACTGGCATTTATACTAAAGGAGTAATGCCTCCGCAACAGTACCTCAATGTTTTGATTTACTAGTATCTTTAATTTTAGCGGACAATGGGTCTAATGCTGATATTTGTGGCGGACCGAAATCTTATCGATATAAAAGCCATGATAAAGCTGTTACAAAAGGAATCTAGGGCAATGAATGACACTCAAATATACATAACGTTACACACCAAAAATAATATTCAGTTTGTCTAAAATCTAATATCTTTCTCACAAGCTAGTATAAATCAACTGATTTCTTTGCGCTCGGTTCTTGTTCTTTCGATCCGTTTCCGGGTGTTTGGTAGTGGGACATTAATTAGGCTATCTGCAGAATGAGTGCTCCATTTATTTGGTCTCACGATGACAATTGTAAAAAATAACTAGTACTGCCCGAAAATGATTGATATACAGTTCAAACGATGTATGCCGAAAATAATCAAATAGTTAGATCTTTATAATCTATGAAAGCAGACAAAATTTATCAGAACAACTATCTATCAGTCAGTGAAATGTCGGCGGTTTGGCTGCCAAGACGAATGGCGGTAACGAGTGATATACCTTCACAGAAAGAGTGTGGGGGTATTTTTTCAACTCAGTCGGTGGATTTATAAGTGAGAGCCAGTCGGGTAGTTCACTGGAAACCCGATAGCTTCCGAAACACTAGTAACAAGTCCTTCTCAAAAGGAAATGATGAAACGTTCGAATCTGTTACAGACCGATTGATCATCCGTCACGCAGTTAAAATTTATGTCAGTGTTCCGATTAGCGATCACAATGGGAATAAAAGGCCTTTCAACAAATGTGGTTTCAGGTGGTGTTAACATGGGCTTTTAAAAAACCTGGTGGGAACATCAAGTGCCGGTACAAAATCTATTCCGGAGTGGCACAAGTCAAGTAGTAAAAGCAACCAATTAGTCTCTGTTTCAACGTCATTTGTTTCTCTTTACTCCCATCCCTACTTCCACAGAGCTTTACTGAAATTTAAATCTGAAGCTGCCTTTAAATTACTTTGAACTAGTCATATTTCTCACTTCTATCGACACCTAAATAAGTCCACAAATTTCCAAATTGTCTAACTGTGGAGCTGCTGCATACAAACAGATATATGAACCTTACTGAATACAACCGTAATCCAAAGAATTTTTTCTAACTTGTTAACTTAAGCACAAAGAATATCAGTCGGTCCATGTTTGCTCGTTACATATATATTGGATATTGAAATAAATTGCAGCGATCATTCAAGGTGCGCGTTAGCCTTGAGTTCTCAGCTTGCTCTCTGGACCTGTGATTTTCTAATCACATTGTTCTATCTGGAGAGATCACATATTTTAGCCACTTATCCATAAAACACGTAAGTAGATTGAAATCCTACTGGAATCCAAGTGATACGAAATGTGTTTCCAAACACAAGTATTAGCGAAATTTGATAGACGATATTGTCATAATATTGATAGTCATTTTCCCTGGCACGTTTTCTATAATTTAGTAGCTAGTCAATATGTTGCCACCATTTAATCTTCATAAGGTCTGCATTACATTCCTCTGTTCAATAGTCTCTATCGCTGTCATTCCTAGGCACACTTAAACGTTGTGAGGGCTCTGCAGTTAAAACTTTTAGCGTTGCATTAGAATCAATGAAGGGCCTGTTGGAGTTGTATGTGTCAGTTAGTATTCTTCATAGACTCATTTCTAACAAATGTATGTAGTTTCCTCATTGATGTGTTCGTGAAAGTGACTTAACTGACTTTTCAGGAAAATCTTCAATGCAAAAGCTCCTATCCGCCCAAAGTATAGCAATCATAATCCTCTGCTTGCTAAGTGCGGTATTTCAAACATTATAAAGGTCAATAGATTAGTGTTTTATTGTCTCCTTACCTCTAAATCCGAAATGTTTTAGTATTAATGTGTTAGACTCAGTTCATTCTTAAAAGGTTAAATTAGTTGGTTGTGTTGGCCACTGAACGTATTTAGAAGTCGAACCAACCCTGACAGGTAATTGGCATACCACCTCGAGAAGAATAAAGAGTACTTGATTTTTACCAACCCTACTAGTCTTGTAAACACACCACAGTTTATCTGGTCAGTCAGTCAGTTACAACGTAGAACTTCGTACGTACGTACACCAATTCATGTTGCCATACCACATTAGAACAGAGTTGTAATTGTCAGTTCAAATCCCATAGTTGTAGAGGTAGCAGAAGTGTTAGCAATAATCGGAGAATATAGGGTTCTACGATAGTATTCAAAAAGTCGAATCTAGTGAAATAAATTTAAAAAAAAAACGTGATGAGGAATTCAGGTTAGGACTTGAGAAAACATAACGAGTCGATGCTTTTGCGCCATCACGAACGGTTTCTAGCCATGTCATTCAGGGTCTCTAACCATCGACTACTAACATCTCGCGGACCCCAACCAGGTAGTCTACACTTACCAAAATGACTGAATCCAGTTGTCAGTGACTTCATGGATTGCTGCCATGTTTTGGTCTGGCCGCCCCTAGCTTTTATCCAACCTATTCCTACACCGCAAAATATAGCTCAATGAGGCAGTCGGTGGTTAGGCATACGCAACATGCACCCCCTAACATCTCTCTTATCTCATCGTTCTCGCATTCCGTTATCAAGCTGCACCGCTTGTGCAGACAATTCGAGTTCTCGAAACGTCATTCCTGGTCTCCTGATATCCCGTTCTAGAATACATGTTGGAGCTTTTAATGTCCGGACGGTGTGTCAAATAGGGCAACAGGTTTCCGCAGCTAGGACTTTAGAATCTCGCGCCATCGATGTTTTGCATCTCCGAAACGCGCATACAAGATCAGAGCTAAATCTTCCATTTGATTTCACCTTGTCAAAATGAAGAAGCAGCTCGATTTACCCTTCGTGTATCTGGAAGCCCTGATGCTGCTTCCAGGGGTCTTGCTGGCGTAGGCATAGCATTGAGTCGTAGAGCTGAACAATCTCTCCTTGACTGGGTCCCAGTAGATAGTCGCTTGTGCGCTGTCCGACTAAACGGGACAGTAAGGACTCGCAAGGATAGGGACACGCCTCTTCGTCGTATCTGCCTATGCCCCCACTGACTGCAGCCCAGATGATGTAAAAGATGAGTTTTACAGAAAGCTTTCGGACCTCCTCCAAAAAGCTAGGCGCTCTGATATAGTAATAATGGCTGGTGACTTTAATGCTCAAGTAGGTAGACAAAGTGAGCAGGAGAGACACCTAGGTGGATGTTATGGTCTCGCGGCTCAGAGGACAGACAATGGTGACCGTCTGTTGCAAGTATGCTCAGACAACCGCCTATTCTTAGCAAACACTAACTTTAGGCATAAGGAAAAACACCTGTTGATCTGGCGACCCCCGAAGTCGTCTCAACGTTGGACGCAACTAGATCAGATCGCCATCAGCCACCGATGGAGGGGTTCGATAGAGGACTGCCACTCGTTCTGGTGCACATATTTAGATTCAGATCATGCACTAGTGCGAGCGCGTATTTGTCTGCGCCTTACTGGACGCCTGAAAAATATCGCTTTACTTAATGATAATTTAGCTAAGAAAATATTTCAGGAGGAACTAGAAAAACAGTTAGGCGACCATGCAAGTGATTCCCATCCGGAGGCAGGTTGGAATGATATCAAAAAGGCTGTGGAAACAGCAGTGATATCTGCTAGCAAGGTAAACCATAAGGCTAGGATGAAGCCGTGGATCTCAGTAGCATCCACCGAATTGATGGATACTCAAAAACGCATTCCACCAAGCTCTGAACATGATAAAGAGCGAAGTCAGCTTAGGCGCAGACTGATAAAAAGCCTGTGTAACGACCGCGAACAGTGCTGCATGGCGAAAGCAAAAGCGATGGAAAAGGCAGCGGCGATAGGCGACACTAGTCAACTTTTCCGCCTGTATAAGGAACCCGAATGTGGGTGAGACTGTCTCAGAAAAGGATGACTGTGTCATTTATTCTCAATCCAGGAGATTGGACCGATGGTCAGGACAGTTTAGGGATCAGTTCAACTGGTCTTCATTCACACTTCGGTTGCCCACGATCCCCAGTCATCCTGAATGGCCAATCGATTTAAGTCCTCTCAGTCTACACGAAGTTGAGAAAGCTATAGGAAATATAAAGGGAGGTAGAGCAGCAAGTCCTAATATGCTTACCCCTGAGATGTTTAGGGATGGTGGTCCAGTTTTAACAGTTAGACTGACCGAGATCTTAGGTAGAATCTGGGAACTGGAAGTAATTCCATCTGACTGGTCTCAGTTGCTAATTGTCCCAATCTACAAGAAAGGACAAAAGTCTTCTTGTGACAATCACAAGGGAATCAGTCTAACTAATATAGTATCTAAAATATTGGCCTCAATAATACTTCGACGCTAAACAAAAGCTCGTGAAGAGCAGACTAGAGAAAACCAGGCCGGTTTTCGACCTGGACGTAGCTGTATAGACCACATCTTCACACTACGACAAGTCCTGGAACACAGACACACATTTAGGCATCCTACAATAGTTGTCTTCCTGGAACTTAAGGCGGCATTCGACTCTGTGGATCGTGAGATTCTGTGCCAGTGTCTGTCATTGAAAGGTGTACCATAGAAGTACATAACCTCATACAAGCTCTCTGCTCGAACACCACTGGTAGGCTGAGAGTATATGGCGAACTGTCATCAGAATTCTTTACTTCAAGGGGTGTCCGTCAGGGATGCTCACTTTCCCCATTCTTGTTTAATTTTATCATAGACATGTTCCTAGAAATAACCTTATCCTCGTCTGAATTTTCAGTAGACCTTTTACCAGGAGGCTCGCTTATTGACTTAAAATATTCAGATGACATTGTCCTTTTTGGTGAAGACGCTGACAAAATGCAGAGTCTTCTGACCACCCTAAGCAACAATGCAAGCATGTTCGGGTTGAGGTTTTCCCCTTCGAAATGCAAAATGTTGTTTCAAGATTGGCTTGCGTCAACACGTAAACTAGTGATAGGGAGTGAAGTGGTTGACCGTGTAGACCGCTTCACTTATCTGGGGAGTCTCATCAGTGCTGATGGCCTAGTGACTGACGAAATCTCAGCTCGGATACAGAAGGCTCGTTTAGCTTATGCCAACCTGCGTCACTTATGGCGTAGGCGAGATATCCGTTTGCTGACTAAAGGACGAGTTCTCTCCGTCTTACTTTTTCGCTATGAAACATGGCCAGTGAGAGTAGAAGTTATTCGTAGGTCACTGGTATCCGATCATAGGTGTCTTCGAAGCATTGCTCGTATATCCTGAGACAACCGAGTAAGCAGTGCTGTCTTTAGGAAACGAGTACTTGGTAGGGATGGCAAATCAATAGCTGAAATATTGGAGCTTCATCAGTTGACGTGTTTGGGACATGTGTTACGAATGCCCAACCACCGACTGCCTCGACGAGCGATGTTTTGTAGTGTAGGAGTAGGTTGGAAGAAAGCTAGTGGCGGCTAGACCAAAACATAATAGAAATCCATGAATTCAATTAATCAATCAATAGCAACATAGAACTTCGTACGTGCGTATGTACATCAGTTCATGTTGCCATACCACATTAGCACAGAGATGGAATTGTCAATTCAAATTCCAAGGTAATAGAGGTAATAAGGTATTAGCAGTAATCGGAGATCAATGTTCGAAGATATTATTCAAGAATTAGAATCTAGTAAAATACACTTAAAAAGAAAAAAGTTTAGGATTTGAGAGAACACAAGCAATGAATGCATCTGCGCCATAGCGAACGGTTTTGAGCCATGTCAATCCATGAAGTCACTGACAACTGTACTGAGTCATGTTAGCAGATGTAGGCTGCTTGGTTGGGATCCGCGAGACAATATTTAGAGACCTTGAAAGACATGGCTCAAAAGCGTTTGCAATGGCGCAGGTGCTTCCACTCTTTGTGTTCTCTCAAATTTTGATCTTCAGAATTCCTCATCATCAATATCGTTCTCTTTCTAAAGTTATCTCACTGAATTATACTTCTTGAATAATATCTTGGAACTATAATCTCTATCAGTAATACTTCTACTATCTCTACCATTATAGGATTTGAATTGACAATTGCGTCTCTGTGCTGACGCGGTAGGGCAACCTTAATGATGTACTTACTTACGAATTTCTGTGTTGTAACTGACTGACTGATTAAACCAATCGCCTTCTGGTCGTAAAAGTAGTGTCACTGCAGATGTTCCTAGATTTCTTGGCAGGATGTTCGAAAATAAATTGTGTACAACTTACCATGAATATAATCATTCACAAGAAGGAACTAGACTAATAATACTATATATTATCAACGAACTAACAATTCCCAGCTCTAGCTACAAGGGGATCAAGATTTGAATACGAGAAAAAAACTTTTATTTGTTTAATTATGCATTTATGTACACATTGTTCGTCATTCAATATCACCAACAGCTCTGTCTCACTGATAATACATATATTCATCTTAACCGTCAGTGCACAATTTCATTTCCTGGTTCATATTGTTTAGTACTTTTCAGTTTGTTTATTTCTAGAGCTCATTTTTCATGTTCTTACTATTTTTCCTAGGTTTCTCTTAAAAACAATATTTGTCATGAAGTTAGATAAAACTGAGTTAATTAGCCCACAGATTCAACTGTGATCATGAGCTTCTGTTCAATAAGTAGTTTAGCAGAACAAGGACGAAGAGAAATTAAGCATAAATTATCCAAACAACAAGTTGGTTGCTATTACATGAAAGCGAAATCATGTTTTATTTATCAGTGGCTATTTTTCGATGTTGTTCAGTTTTAACTTAAAATTGATACTGCGTTTATTTACTCGCCTTTCATAAAGTAAATGCTAAGTTAGAACTGATCTCTACAAACCATAGTTTGGGAAATAAATTAGTGTGTCATTAGTCCATAGCTGTTTAAATTCTAGTACATGAACCTTTTATATCGTTTATATTTTGCACTATCATCTTTCCAGGCCATAAATCTGTTTACACCTGGCAAGCGAATTAACTTAACTAATACTTATTCAGCATTAGTGATAAGTTCCTCATTTCTCTTTACAGATTATTTTTGATTTTTACAATTATTTTCGACTTTTTTTACTGTAAACAACTGACCATAATTATTCTCGTATAAAACAATCAGGTTAACTTCTCTCTATTTCAGAAAACGCAATTTAATGGCTGATCTTGAAAATGCTGTTACCCTTATGGCAACAAAATTGTCAATACACAATTCAAAACCACCTTTGTGTAATACAAAAGTTGTTACTGTTCGTTGTCGCCATGTTGTGAAACAAATTCCTAAACAGTATGTTATAGCCTATGTTTTATCATTGGCACAAAAGCAATGCTTGAATTTGTAAGTTGTTTTTTAAAGTTGGTTTTTCTTACTAGCATTGATTTTTAGTGAAAAAGAAAGTTTTTCATTTTTGAGCTATGTTCCAGAAGTCTGGACGAGCTTAATTGATGTCATTCGATCTACGAATCTTGGTAAGTTATAAAACATCTGTTGCTAACTTTTGAATGTTTTTTAAAGGTTAGTTAATTTAGAAATTTCCACTGAATAAAAAAATCACTCACAAATAAATATACTTAGCTATTTAATTTTGCCTTATTTAGCAATAAAATTCTCAACATCGATCCCTTATTTCAAAATTATCCTATTCAAAATGCTAATTTTCTTAGCAGTGGCTGTTTTTATTTTTACTAAAAATAAAGAAAATCTGCTGAAAATCCTTTTGACTTTTGCATTCATAGCATTTGGATAGTGAATTGTTGCGATTGATATTTTTCTTAAGCTCGGCTGTTATTGGTTAAGATTCAAAATATTCAATCCTGAGCCTTATTAGAAAATATAGGCAAACATTTTTGATAACTTTTGACATTTGATCTTACAGAACAGATTTGTGTGTGGTGATAAGTAGTTTGTGAAATTCTTGTTCCTTTAGTCGTAGTTTTAGATGAATTAAGGTACGAATTTAGCTCGATGAAGGTGGTCATTGTCAGTTATTTAGTTTTTAGTAATTGTTACAGTTGACTTCAGATATTTGGCTTAATGCTGGCTTTGTCAGTTAAGCGGTAACTCTTATATCTTATTAAGTGTGATTTATAGCTGGTTTGTGGATGAGGGTTATTCAGTGTTTTCCAAGAAACTTAATCATTACCATGAACGCTTTGTTATTACTTAGGTTTTCATTATCTTGTGTTATCCGACCAGACAATGCGTCTTGTGGACTTAGCGAGTCATTGACTACTTCATTTCTTGTTCTGATCCTTTTTTATATCTATTAACCGAAATCGTTATACCGCTAATCCAGTATTTGTATTAATTCTTGCTGTCGGTCTGTACAATACTGTTTTTTCTAGCTTAGTGACGTAAAGCAGCACATTTTTGTTTGAGGAAAGTAGACACGTCTTAACCGATGAGAAATTATTTTAAAATCTTCGTCATCTACCTACACCAGCGAGGTCGCGGTAAGCAGCCACGTGGTTTTCAGATACATGAAAGGTAAATCGTGACGACTCTTTATATTAAAAAGTTGACGTCAAATGAATGACTGAACTCCGATCGTGTATGCGCGTTTCGGAGACGTAGTGTTGTCCCAGCTAACAAAACCTGTTGTCCTATTTGGCAAAAGAACGAACATTCTCCAATCGACTTGCATGGTATGGTAGGACCTAAAGGAACATATGTTCCAGCCAATATAGCTCGGTTGGTCATCACAATAGACAAACCCGACCACCACGTCAAGGTAGCAGCTGCGGTCGGAAAACTGTTGGTTGGTACGAACTACTTGGTTTGAGTCCATATGACAACAGCAATCAGTAGTTGGAGACACATAGTTCAGGATCGGCCACAGTACAACAGATACACTTGCTTTTTTTTCATTCCCATCTTGAATGCCTGTGTTCCTTCATGCATACCTTTTCATTTCTTTTTTAAACCATATTCTTGATGTTTACTCTTCCTTATTATCGTTGTTTTTAGATCAATTCTACTCTTTAACTAATCTCGTTGTTGTGGTATGAAAATTTGAAGAGTAAAGAGCACATCTGTTCCAGTGTATTTTTTTCTGCTGACTGAATTCTTCAATCTTCATATGTACATAAATTTTAAGTTGAGTAGTAGTGTATCTTTCCGAGTTCTATCAATGCCTATTTTATATTATATCAATATTGTTAATAATATTTTTACACAATATTATAATAATTAGAATTAATGATCTCTGTTTGTTTCTTGTTCATTATTTTTCATTTTACACCTTATCCGGTCCGATTAATAATTGCAACTAGATAATTATGATTTTGGTTATATACAAACAGTTGCTTTAGAATCATTGAAAAATGCTATCAAATTATGTTATGATACAATAGATAAAACATTATGTCAATATTATTATTCACGTGCTTCATTGAATTCATTAAATCTATTATTGGATACACACTCAGCTGTGAATAAACGTAGACGTCAAGAAGATCGTTGGTTTGCTGTTGCAGATCTACTATCGTATGTGCCTTTATATAAAAGCCATGTAAGCATACTAATCAATAAGTTTTCTTGCATTATCGATTGTTGTTATTACTGCTATGAATTCAACTTTTTATATACTTAACTAACTATGCTCATCATGCATTAAAAGCATTCATTTAATATAGTTTTCATTAGCGAGGAGTTAGGTTTTCGCCAATAAAACCAATAACCTTTATTCGATCAATAATTTAAATGATCATCCACAACACTTTGATGTCCTAATTTCTAAAGATCCATGCAATTCCGTCTATCATCAATAGTGAATCTGATCATGAAAACGAACAATTGGCTTACCTTCTTTTACTGTATTTTATCATGACACATAAACCTACGTCATAAGATTGATTAATCCTATTTCTGAACTAAGCAAATTGCAATAGTCAAATATGATGTACTTACTTCTCTACTGCAATTTTGTATGTAAGCGCTAGTGATGGTATTTGGATTTGTTAAGCGTAAAGTAAGTGAGGTTTTAATAGTGGATTATTTACCGATAACTTGGTGATTGTGAATATCAAGGGCTTTAATAATTTTAGATATCATTTCAGTTATGGATTAAAGTGTAGCTGTATTGATCTTTCAATTACTGATTTTACTTTAGCCATTTGAAGTTGAATCAGCTCTGTAATGAATAGATCATAGACAACAAATAAATCATGGTTACGCTCACAGATGTGTAGACAGTTAGTAAATTACTAGTATTCATTTCTTTAAATTCACTTCCGGTTTAGTGTTTCCCTCAAATATAACTCTATAATCTGTAAACAGTAACTTCTTGTCTGACATATGTAAGTACATTCAGCCATAATCTTCTGTAAAATGAGGACCACTAGATGACCTTTTTATCCTGAATTGTGACTCGTCGATAGTTCCAATTGATGAGTCAGAAGACTCTGCATTTTGTTGGCGTCTTCGCCGAGTAGGACTATGTCATCGGTATATTCTGAGTCAACCAATGAATTTCCTGGTAGAAGGTCTACTCCTGATAATTCAGAAGAAAACAATGTTATACCTAGCAGCGTGTCAACAAACAAATTGAACAAGAATGGGGAAAGTGGACAACCCTGACGGACACCACTTAAAGTAATCAATTCTGATGACAGTTCGCCATAAACTTTAACATGACCTGTAGTGTTCGAGTAGAGAGCCTTTATAAGGTTAATATACTTCTCTGGTGCACCTTTTAATGACACACACTGCCACAGAATCTCACAATCCACAAAGTCGAGTGCCGCCTTAAGGTCCAGGAAGACAACTATTGTAGAATGCCTAAATGTGTGCCTATATTCCAAGACCTGTCGTAGTGTGAAGATGTGGTTTATACAACCGTGTCAAGGTCTGAAACCAGCCTGGTTTTCTCTAGTCTGCTCTTCACGAGCTCTAGTTAGGCGTGTAAGGATAACTGAGGCTAACAATTTAGAAACTATATTAGTTGGACTTTTTCCCCTGTAATTATCACAAGAGAACTTTTGTCCTTTCTTATAAATTGGGACAATCAGGGATTGAGACCAGTCGGATGGGATTGTACCCTATCCCAAATTCTACCTAAGATCTCAGTCAATCTAACTACTAAAACTGGACCACCATCCACAAAAATCTCAGTGGTAAGTCTGTCAGAGCCTACTGCTCTCCCTCGCCCTACATTTCCTATAGCCTTTCGGATTCGTTAAGAGTCGGAGGACTGACATCGATTCACCATTCAGGATGACTGGAGATTGTGGGTATGGCTGAAGGTCAGTTGAGCTGATCCCTGAAGTGTTCTGCCCATCGATCCAATCACCCGGATTGAGAAGGAATAATAAGCCCATCCTTTTACGAGATAGTCTCACTCACATTCGGGTTCCTAATACCGGTTTCCTTGATGAGTCTGAATAGTTGCCTACTGTTGCCTGTCGCCGTTGCCTTTTCCATCTCCATTGCTTTCGCCACCCACCACTGTTCTCGATCATTGCGTAGGCTTTTAATCAGCCTACGCTTAAGCTGCTTTCGCTCTTTGTCATGTTCAGAGCCAGGTGGAATGAGGTTTCGAGCATCCATCAGTTCGGTGGATGCTACTGAGACCCACCGCTTCTAGCTAACCTTGTGGTTAACCTTACTAGAAGATATCACTGCCGTTTCCACAGCCTTTTTAATATCATTTAACCTGCTTCCGGATTGGAATCGCCTAACTGTCTTTCTAGTTCTTCCTGAAATATATTCTTAGTTTTGTTATCATTAAGTGGGACAAAAAGAGCTTTGCTTGTGATGTCTTCCTTACGTTCAGTAAGTCGCAAACACATACGCACTCGCACTAGAGAATGATCTGAATTTAAACATGCAGTCCTCAGTAGAGCCTCTCCACCTATGGCTTAAGGCTGTGTGATCTACTTGGTCCATCGTTGGGTCATCTTTGGGGGTCGCCAGATCAAGAGATGTTTTTCCTCATGCCTAAAGTTAGTGTCTGCTAGAAAGAGGCGGTTATCTGAGCATAGCTGTAGCAGGTGGTCGTTAATATCTGTTCTATCAACTGCGACACCATAAGGTTCATACAGATGTCTTTCTTTTCCACTGAGTCTACCTACTTGAGCATTCAAGTCACGAGCCACTGTTACTATATCAGAGGGCTTAACGTTTTGGAGGAGGTTACAGAGATTTCTGTAAAACTTGTCTTTCATGTCGTCTGAACTACAGTCAGTGAGAGCTTAGGCAGATACGATGAAGAGGCAATCGCGAGTTTCCCTATCCTTTCAAGTCCGTGCCGTCCCGTTTAGTCGGACAGCGCATAAGCGACTGTCTATCGGGATCCAGTCTAAGAGAGCTAGTTCTGCCCTAGGATATAATACTATACCTACACCGGCGAGGACACGAAATGCGGCATCAAGACTTCCAGAAACCCGAAGCTTAAACCTTGTTGTTTTTGTATCTGCACTAGGTGAAATCAAATGGAAGATTTTACTCTGATCTTGTATGCGCGTTTCGGAGACGCAGCATACATCGATCGCCCGAGATTCCAGAGTTCTAGCTAAGGAAGCCTGCTGCCTCATTTGGCATAGGGTTCGAACAATAAAAGCTCCTATATGTATTTTAGTACGGGGTTTCAAGAGACCATGAATAATGTTTCAAGTGTTCGTACCGTTTGCCTCAGTGGTGTGAGGTGATAAACGATCGAAAGAAGGGTTGGTCGAGGAGATAAGAGAGTTATTTAGAGATGTAGAAAGGATTTGATTGTGACCGATTTGGTCTCGTGTGCTTTTGTGGGTATGAGGGTGGATATCACTTCTCGGTAGCCCACACAGAGCAAGGGTGTTTCTTGAGGGACCTGAAAAGGAAGGTAGATTAGTGTCGGTCTTAACGACTTTGGAGCGTAACCTCGGAGTCCAAAGGACAACTGCTGGAGACCGGTCACGCACGGCCTTTTTGTTAAAGTTTTTTGAGTATTAGTTCCTCTCTTAAAGCCCTTAGTGGGCATCCTTACCGGTGGATACGGAAGTCCGTGAGGTAGGGTGAGGTGTGACATATTTAGGGTCGATCTTTTCTAATCCTTCCTTGTTTGTGAGAAGATGCTGGTTGTCCGAGAGAAAAATCTTACTGCCGTCATACCTCTCTGCAGTCAGTAGTACGACTTTGCCCCCAGACCTTGAGTGATTGCTTTTAATCTCATCGTTCTCCAATCGACCTGCCTGACTCGGTAGAACCTTCAGGAAAATGTGTTCGGTTGTGTCATAACCATAGTCAAGCCAGACCAATACATCAAGGTAGCATCTACGGTCGCGACGAAATGTGTAGAAGAATTTCATAATTAGTTATTAGTGTGGAAGTCTTTTGAAATAAAATCACGTAATATATTGATTAATAAATGCATGAATGTAATGGTGTTTATTATTAATCAATCATCTGAGTTAGTCCTTTCGGAATTCCCAGTATATTTTACTCGACTGTTCATATAAATGAACTTTATATAACTTGAGATGTATTAGTTACTTGAAATAAAGTGATGGGAATTTGTTCTTATCAAGAAATTCTATGGTATACTCTTTCATACGTATTCTTCGATTATGCAAGTTATTGGCATCTAATATTTAAATTCATAACAGACATTTCATTTCATTCACAGCTAAACATAGCTGTTTGTATTCCCACTTAGATTCGAACTCACTGTTCATAGTTTTAGAACTAGAATTTCACAGTTTTTATCACAACTTGGTCACAGCCTCACAATAATTAACGATCAAGAAACAGACGCTGTTTTGTCATCATGCAGAACTTCTCAGCTGTGCACACCCAGAATCCCATCAAGAATCCAACTGAGAGCGCTCAGGTCTGACAACAAATGCTTAAGTTTCCAACTCCTGAGTTGGTACCCAGTTCTTCATTTACCTAATTTGAATCAATTGGTTTAGTGCTCACTGCTTGACAGGGAACTTAGCGAATCTCCGACAAATGTATGAGTTTCAATTCTATTCATCACTTAGCGTAGTTTTCATTTCTTTTCTTTTCTCATGATTTCATATAACTTTCTACAGATTGACCAATCATATCTCACGGACTTCTCACCAATCACAGCATTCGGTATTTTCGATGGTCATAATGGTCCAGAAGTGGCTGAACATTGTTCCCATCTTGCACCGTATTTACTTAGTATAGAGTTGCAACGACATGTTTTATCATCGTCATCTAGTATTAATACTAGATATTCTAAATGCATACCAGATATATTAGCCGAAATTTTTCATCGATTGAATAAGTCAGCTAACAGTGGAAGAGCACAGAAGGTAATAACAGAATATACTTTTTCCCTGACTGGCATATATGTACATATATGGTTTTACGGCTTATATATATATATATATATATATATATATATATATATATATATATATGTAACCATGTTTTATGTTTCATTCTACAAAAGTGTACATGTGTATTCGTACGAGATAAAGCGACTAACGTTATGCATTATGGTACTGTCAAAGTGTGAAACAAGTGAATAAATATTATCTTGTTTAGTAGAGGAATAATGTATTATTCCATAGTGGTGTGTATTCAATGTAAATCTATTTACTTTTTTTTTCGCTTAACCACATTAACAGAGAAAGAGGGAAAAAAATGCCCTCAGACCCTATGAATATTACGGTCAAAATAGGTCTGTTGTAAGTCCTATGAAAGCAAACATAAAATGAATAGAAAATAAAATTAAAGTGAATGATATCAGAAGTAGGTGAATTAGTTGTTCTTTCCTGAGTTGTTTTTCGTACAGTTTCTCGCACCTATTCATTGATTTTTCATAGTTCATTCTAACAGTCATTCACCTCATTGTATAATACTGTGTTCCGGTCTGATATCTTTGCCTCTTTTCCAACCTAATTACACAACACAGGCTAGGTGATTGGTAAGTATGCGCTTAATGCATATGGTTCAATAGTTTCAACTAGTTAAAGTTTATAGAAACTTAATGATTCCATCATGCGCAACTGTGCATGGCCACTTACTACTAGCTTAATTATATCTTCTATCCTCAAAGGGCATATTCCACAACGATAAATAACAAACAATCAAATGGAATGTAGTATACTCACTCAAAAGATGGTAGCTATATATCTCATGTATGCTATGAGTGGCATAAATTAGCAATAGACAAACCAATTTTCTGTATGATTCCTCGAAGTTTTGTCAGCTATCAAACTATATATATATATATATATATATATATATATATATATATATATATATATATTCATTTAAGTGTGTGTACATCTGTATTTATTTTTAAATAATTTATGATTATATATTGCCTACTTACTGTATACGACATTGTTTTGATGGTATGCACATTTCATTATTTCATATTTCAGCAATTTGGATATGCTTTCATTCTAATAGAGATACTAACGATATAAATGTGTACATACATATTCTTGACAGGAAGTTCTAATATTATTTTCTTAGTGTCTAAATTCCTTTAGGTATTCAAAACTGTACAGTGATCTGTTTTCTTATATTGAATAAAAGTTCAACTCTTTTGTTGTCTATTTCATGTAGCGCAATATCACTGTAACCTTTCGTCAGTTAAGTTACTGGACTGTTGGTTTCAGTTTCTATTTTTATTTGTAAGCAAACGCGTTGGATGCCAAAGGTCAAGCAATTACCGCTAAACTGGCATTCAATACTCAATGTGGTCGTAGATTTTCACGGTAGCCTCATACTAGATCAAAACAATCTGATTAGTGCTTCCTAGATTTTGATAGTTGTCTTATTAAGACCATTTCCTCATATAAACTAATTGACATGAATCAGTTCGAGTTTGTACCGTAATAAAACTTAAAATAGTGGTCGTCTTAACGCTTAATTTAGAACTATCCCACTCTGAGTTTTTAATATTTATATATTCTGTCATTGTCTAATATTTTTTGAACATTATACTTCATTAGACTCTTCTCATATCAAGGCAATAATTAGAAGGAAACAATGTTTATTCTAATCAACTTAAAGAGCAATGATACATTGGTAAAAAATCGGAATTTTTATAATACTTACATAAGAATCTTCTAGCACCTTCCTGACTTGTCTACTGGCCCCGATTATTTACAAATAGATTAATCAACGCGTCAAAACTCTTGTTAAAAATAATCTTTAGGTTTTTTTGTTTCAATCCATTTTGACATCCACAAAAGTGTGCTTTATGCTATATAGTGACTCCAAAAACGAATAACACATGTTACAATTATTTCATTTTTTGAATATTTATTATCTGAAATTGAATTTCCATCTTCATTACAAGAACTTCATATTTCCAGTGGTTCCAGTTTACAAGAGTACTTTTCTTTTGAAAATATCTATTGCAAAACACTTAATTGTGCTTAAAGATGTTGGATAACGCTACTCAAGTTAATAATCGTTCAAAATGCCGTAAATGTATTTGTTTATTATTTTTTAGTAATCATTGAATTTAATATTGTTTAACTGAACCACTCACACACAAAATTAGTCTACTAGTCAATTTAATTTTATAAACGGATACTACGAAATAAATTTCTTTATTCTCTTCATACTTGTCCACTGAATTTCTGTTACCTTCACTATGTGATTGTCCTTTGTTTGGAGTTGATTTTTTTGTAATAAAATCAATAAAGCTTTGTTTGTATTGTATTGACATCTTACATCGTGATAATGCTTAAATCTATGTGAAAGTGTGTGTTTCTGTGCGTGCTTACCTGCGTGGGAAGAATGGGTTCATGTTAATACGATCCCTCTTTTTTCTATGCTTTCTTTCAACGTCTGCAATATTGTTTGGTGTCGTTCTTACTATCTCCGTCAATTTTTAACAGTCATTGTTTATTTGTTAAGATGCATGTCGACGATCCACCCTGAGGCAGGTTGGAATGATATCAAAAAGGCTGTGGAAACGGCAGTGATATCTTCTAGTAAGGTTAACCACAAGGTTAGCTAGAAGCGGTGGGTCTCAGTAGCATCCACCGAACTGATGGATGCTCGAAACCTCATTCCACCTGGCTCTGAACATGACAAAGAGCGAAAGCAGCTTAAGCGTAGGCTGATTAAAAGCCTACGCAATGATCGCGAACAGTGGTGGGCAGCGAAAGCAAGGCAGATGGAAAAGGCAACAGCGGCAGGCAACAGTAGGCAACTATTCAGACTCATCAAGGAAACCGGTATTAGGAACCTGAATGTGAGTGAAACTATCTCGAAAAAGGATGGGCTTATTATTCCTTCTCAATCCGGGTGATTGGATCGATGGGCAGAACACTTCAGGGATCAGCTCAACTGACCTTCAGCCATACCCACAATCTCCAGTCATCCTGAATGGTGAATCGATGTCAGTCCTCCGACTCTTAACGAATCCGAAAGGCTATAGGAAATGTAGGGCGAGGGAGAGCAGTAGGCTCTGACAGACTTACCACTGAGATTTTTGTGGATGGTGGTCCAGTTTTAGTAGTTAGATTGACTGAGATCTTAGGTAGAATTTGGGAATAGGGTACAATCCCATCCGACTGGTCTCAATCCCTGATTGTCCCAATTTATAAGAAAGGACAAAAGTTCTCTTGTGATAATTACAGGGGAAAAAGTCCAACTAATATAGTTTCTAAATTGTTAGCCTCAGTTATCCTTACACGCCTAACTAGAGCTCGTGAAGAGCAGACTAGAGAAAACCAGGCTGGTTTCAGACCTTGACACGGTTGTATAAACCACATCTTCACACTACGACAGGTCTTGGAATATAGGCACACATTTAGGCATTCTACAATAGTTGTCTTCCTGGACCTTAAGGCGGCACTCGACTTTGTGGATTGTGAGATTCTGTGGCAGTGTGTGTCATTAAAAGGTGCACCAGAGAAGTATATTAACCTTATAAAGGCTCTCTACTCGAACACCACACAAAATATCGGCAATGGACTAATTCAAATTGTTACTAGTAATAATTGAAACAACAAAACCTTTCAAATAAGTTAGTCGTCATATGAACTGTTTGGAGTTTTCAGATATTTTTTAATTGTAAAAATGCAGCCCTTTCTTTGCCGATCCGCACCCTCAAATCTGCAATGGACCCACCTTGATTGTCGACAGTGCTCCCCAGATAGGTAAAGGATTTTACGTCCTCCAAGGCATTTCCATCAAGAGTGATTTGGTTGGCGCATGTTCTGTAGTATCGTAGAGTCTTGCTTTCCCTTTATGTATGTTGAGACCTACTTCTGCAGAGGCTGCCGCTACACTGGCCGTCTTCTCTTGCATTTGTTGTTGCGTGTGCGATAGAAGAGCCAGATCATCTGCGAAGTCCAGATCGTCCAGCTGTATCTTGGCTGTCCACTGAATACCTTGCTTCCCTCCAGATATTGACGTCTTCATAATCCAGTCGATCACCAGGAGAAAGAGAAAGGGTGAGAGTAAGCAACTATGCCTGACACCAGTCTTCACTTCAAACGAGTCTGTCAGCTTTCCTCCATGCACGATTTTGCAGTCTAATCCATCATAAGGATTCCGGATGATGTTGACTATCTTCTCATGCACGCATTAGTGTTGTCCAGTCCACGCTATCAAATGCTTTTTAGTAGTCAACGACGTTACATTCAGCTGATCGTTCCACAATGATTGATAATTCTGCGATGTCGCCAGTACACGATCGATCCTTAGGAAATCCGGCCTGTTGATCTCGAAGTTGGGCGTCTACGAAGTCCTTCATCTTGTTTAACAACACTTTGTTAAAGAATTTGCCTTGTATTGAGAGAAGAGTGGTGCCTGTGTTGTTCTTACACTTGCTGAGACCGCCTTTCTTTGGTATTTTGATCAGGTATCCTTCTTTCCAATCTGATGGTACTTGTTCTTCATGCCAAAGCTTGTTGAAGAGGATGTGGAATATTTTGACAGTTGCTTTCACGTCTGGTTTCATTGTCTCTGCTGGAATGTTGTCTAGTCCCACTGCTTTTCCGCTTTTAATCTGTCTGATAGCCACGCTAACCTCTTCAACTGTTCGTGGGCCAACATCGATTAGGAGGTCCGTGGATGCTGCTTCGATGTTTGGTCCTGACGAACTTTTTATTGATAGAGATATGTTCGATTTGGTTCTGAGTAGTGTGATTAGGTGAAATCCATGCAGCTTTGTGTGTGCACTTGTGTGGGAATATTGTGCCGCGGATGGCCATTTTGTTGGAGGCACATAGGTTTGCAAATCTCTCATCGTTTTCGTCTGTTTCTCCCAGTCCATGTCGTCCCATGATGTCTTCATATCCAGTGTTGTTCATGCCAACCTTTGCATTTAGGTCTGCCATTAGAATCGTCGATTTATTTGATGGGCATCTGTGGACGATTGACTGCAGCCTTTCGTAGAATTGATCTTTATCGTTGTCAGTGTACTTATTGTTAGGTGCATAGCATTGGATGACGTTAATTGCTATGCCCTCATTCTTTGTTTTGAAGGATGCTTCGATGGTCCTGGGCCCACGAAGTCCCCATCCTACTAGTGCGCTTTTTGCTTGTTTGAACTGCATCAGTGCTGGACTCCTTGTGTGTGTGAGGCATTTTCTTCCTCACGGCCGGAGCATAACAGCAGCTCTCCTGAAGCTAGTCTGAGTTTTCCAACTCGCGTCCGATGCGTTTCACTGATTCCAAACACCTTGAGGTTGTGTCATTTTATCTCTGCAGCAACTTGGACTAGTCTTCCGGTCTCTCACAGTGTACAGATATTCCATGTACCTCAAAGAATAGTTGCTGTGGTTGTGATCAGAGGCATCGGCCTCATGACTTTCGAAGAGACTCGGTTTTCATTGTGAGATCTCGTAACTCTTCTGAAAGAAGACCTAACTCTCAGGGCAGAGTTAAGATGGTTTGAATTGGATTTTCTTGTTAGCGGTTTTTTTAGCGAGTTAGTTTTTTTTGGTGGGATGAGGTCGCCAACCTCATGCCCAACTCTCCTTTATTCGGGCTTAGGACCGGCAGTAGCATCAAAAGGGCTCCAGGCCTAGTTAGGCGATACAGTTCCATGGTAGCTAATAGTTTATTAAGGTTTATAATGTGTTCTTTCCTTCAGGATCTCGAGAACCGTATAGAGTCTTTGTTTGAAATCAACATTTGTAAACTCACTCTGATGCACATTCCATATTCGCGAACTGAGTTTAAGCTATGGAAGTTCACTCTTTTACTTCTCATTTATGTAAGCAGCACAACTTGTTAAGGAAGCTGATAAAAAATTTTTTATGAGGCTAAAAGCTTACAGCTTTGCAGAAGTACTTTGAAAGACAGTGCAGATTACACCTACTCTCAGTTGTACCAGGTTATTTGAGTACTACTAAATAGATTATCGACAAAGGTTTACAAATTGTTTTTATTCATTAATAAGCAATACAGTTAAAGGTGCCATTTTATGCATTTGAAAATTTATCTCGCAATTTGAAATGGAATTTATTTATTAACTTAAGTAAGCACTTTATTCACCTACTAGAAAATGATTATCATTCTAAATATACCAACTCTAGATAATTATCTTTTTTGATGCAATTAGATAGTCTTTCTTTGGTTCATATAATAATCTGTCTGTACAATTTAATACATAGTTCATTGTTTTGTTTTTTTTGTGGTTGTCAGTGAATGAATTATTATTATTATTATTGTAACTTCTGTAGTTTACATAATGAACTAATGTTCAATAAACAACCATCATGAAGTTGGAAGCTACGGACAACTGTTCAATTGTAGCATAGGTATCCTCAGCAATGAATATACGTTACATCGACGGGTATCGAAACCAGAACCTTCTTATCTTTCAACAATCGCCTAACTTTTGAACCACTGAGTTAGTTTTTATTGGTCTTCATTTTTAACTTCAACCAATCCACCATATTGTGCAACCGTCAGTTCCTCCAACTTTTGTATTCCATAAACGACAAAATAACTTTCGTTTAAATTGCTTTTCACTTGGTCGTTCCCCCCAATCAAATGGGAATAATAAAATATAATCAAGATATAGATGTTTAAGCTTAGAATATCACCTGCTCTTTCATTTTAATGATGTATATCGATTGAACCGAGACAAATCACTCTATTTTTTCATGTCTGTATGGTAATAGTGTATCATTCTTCTAACTAAATTCACTGCCTACGTGTCCTTGTCACTGTCAACCCGGTCATCTGTAAATATGTATCGGCTGCGTGAATGGTTATACGCAGCTTTTGACGTGAACTAACAATTGAAATGTACATTTACATAAAAAGATTATTATTGGAATCCATCGAGTAAAGTTTATTGTATACGTGTTTTACGAATTTCCTATTTCTTTTTCTATGTTAGTTTTGGAATTCTGGTACAACAGCTACAGTGTGTGCATTTGCTGGTGATACTATTTGTACAGCTTGGGTTGGTGATTCACAAGCTTGGCTTATTTTTCCTTATACTAATGATATTAATAATGATAATGATGATACTGTTAATCATAATAGCAATAATTTCAATTGTTGTGATAATAGTGTACAACAGAATGAAAAAATTAATCACACTGCTACTACTACTACTACTACTACTACTACTGCTACTACTAATTGTGATAGTAGTCATTTTCATGAATCATCGGATAGAATATCTGTACTAATGGAAATTCCATCATCGGATAAAAATTTCAATAACAACTATGATACGAACAGTACACATGTTAGAAAGTCAACATCATTAAATACTATGTCTGATCGTTTATCATCCTCATCATCATCACCAACGCCATTATGTAATGGAAGCATACCTACTAGTCAAAGTGTTTCAATCATTGAGAAACAACAACAACAACAATCTCCACCTCAATCAACAATAGTTGTGAAACAGTTTTCTAGAGAAAATTCTGTGCCTAGTAACATTGATGATATTAATAACAATAACAATAATGGCAATGACAATGAAATGGAAATAAATGAATATTTAGGCATTCCGTTGACAGATTGTCTACATCGTCCAGAATCACCTGTAAGTTGAATTAAATTAAAACAATACATATATATATATATATATATATATCAGTTAATAGTCAGTATTACACAAAATGAATATACTATCAACAGATTCCTAATATCTGTCACCGGATTATATTAATTTTTGCTAGGTAAATGCAACTACGGAGAGACTGTTATTCCCTCAGTCAGAAGTGTTATCAATAGTTAGATTACTCAGGCTCTTAACACCTCTCTGTAACATTTAATTGGATATTCAGATTGACCATTAGGTGAAAGTTTACGCCATAATCTCTATACCTCAAAAAAGACCGTATCATATTTATCAGATATTTCAATCCATTACTTATTATCGTAGTTTAAATCACGAACAGATTTTAGTTAGGATCACCATTAAAAACCAAGAAGCATTGGATAACTTTTTCGTCTTTTCCGTACGCTCTGTCCATCACTCCATTGGAGATCAAACCCAAAACCCTCTGTCGCACAATTGGGTGCCTAACGTCAAGACCACTCGGCTCGCATCAAATAATTTACATAACTCTCTTTAAGTAATTCATGGTGCTGAACAACCAACTTTCACTACCTTGTGGAGATAGTTAAACTCCGCTGATCACGGCTTGTCCTACACAAACGGCTAAAATGTAGACAATTTCTCTTCCTTTTGAAAAGTAGAAGTCTCTTTTTATGTAATGTCAATAAATTCCGATGTTGGATTTTGGGGATCGTACTACTTTAAAAAAATACTTGCATCATGAAACTGCCTTTCAACATCACTGTTATTCTAAATTTTTTCTGGGAAATATTAACTAAACTTCTAACTTATTAGGTACTCATAACTAACTAATGAGTTTGTCCAGATAGAAAGCAGTTCACTTATCGTTATCCTCTACGACGTGTTGCTGTTTAAAATCGGCTTATCAGAAACTGTCAAACAGGGTTTGGTCTATGTATGGTTTGTATTATTTCCTATGGAACATTCCTATCACAAGTGATCAATTTATCTTATCAGAAACGTTTTCAGACTCGAAGCAATTTTCTCTCAATTGATCTTATATTTACTCTTAACCGATAACTAGTGTTCAATAGATTCCTTTTCTGAACTGTTTTATCATTCTCAAAGTAAGAGTTAGTAGGTTTCATGAAGTCATTTTGTCATCATGATGTAAACATTACGCTCAATAACTGGATCCCGTTGCTCACTGAATAACGCTTTAATGTTTGAAGAGAAAGTTACTGAGTTCAAGGCCTGGGGAGAATCATTCTCCTGAAGATTACAGTTACAGCATGCTAACTAGTGCCAAATATCGCAAGACCTAGACCAATATAGGGTTTCCTCCTAACTACGTTCATTAACCTATACTGCTTTCTTATTCATACCGTAGTAGGCGGTTCATAGCTTGATAATGAAAGTATAGTATCTGAAAGAACAATCAATCGTAGATTTTAATTCCAAACTTTTGACTCTGAATTTTGTTATCGACTGTTCATATTGTATTTAGCATAGTATATTTCAAAACTTGCCACTGACTTTATTAGAGAGTTAACAGTACTTAAGTATTTAATAAGTATTATTTTCATTATTGTCCTTGTAATCGTTATATTTCCCATTTTCGTAATCTGATCTTTTATTTCTCATAAAGTTATTTTACTATTTAAGGGTTTTTTCCTCATTGTTAATGCTAAAAACTGTAACTGATTAACCCCCTCCTAATGTATATGTATAATTGGCTGGATTCATCATTTCTCAATGTTTTGTAGATAGGACAGAAATTATTTATTGTATTTCACTACTGTATCCACTAATCTATCTTCAATATATAAAAAAAAACTTGACAAATCATATATTTTTTGAAATACACTGTTTCGAATAAAGTTGGTATTGAAAAAATCTAATACTTTTGTGCTCTGTTTTTAAAAAAAACCATGTTTCACCTCATTCTTTCTTTTAATTTTCTACTTTTTTACAGACTGAATTTGTTTCTGTCCTACGAACTGGTGGTTCAATATTGACTGAAGTTGGCTCTGAGAATAGTTCATCTATTGAGAATAAAATTTTCTTTTCACATTTACCTCAAGGTTACATGATCAATTCAGCTGTTGCTCGTGACGTTAAAGAGAATATTCCTAATAGTAATAATAATGATTGTTTTAGTAAACATATTTCTATACCACCCCTTGATAATCCAAGTTTAATCGATTGTAGAGTTGGATGTTTATCATCAGTAAGTCGATCAATCGGTGATGATGAAACAGCGGTTGGTTTGAATGCTTTACCATCGATAACAATTTGGTCAGCAGATAAACAAAGACATCACCACCACCACGACCAACAACAACGTTCAATGCCTTTATGCTTGATTATAGCAAGTGATGGTTTGTGGGATGTACCTTGTTGTTCTGGTCCAGAAGTTTCACTGATGGCATGGAAGTGGTATAGAAAGCATATTTATCGTAAAATAGATTGTAGAAATTTTCATTCATTTTCTGAATTCTTAGTTAATGTAGCCGTACAAAATGGTGCATCGGACAATATAACATGTAGTGTAATTTGGTTGCATAAATGGAAACCAACAGAATTAAAAGGTTGGAATGTTGATTGTCAGTCGTTAGCATCATCTACTCTAGTCAGATGGCCTAGACATTCACGAGTTGCTTCACTAGTCAATGTTAATTCACCTACTGATGTTGTATTAAAAGGTCCACGAAAATGTATACCATCTAAAATATCTCAGTTAATTTCTCAACGATCTTATTCATTAAATAATATATTTGATAATGAGTTGTCAACTTCACGTTTTTCCAGTCCTCCACGTGATATTTTCTATCATCAATCTGATTGTATATCTTCATCAAATTGAATTTATATAACTATTACCAACATTCTTGTATAAATTGTATGTTTGTTTGCTCTTGTTTTATAATTCACCTTTTTGTTTTCTGAACATATCTTATTGACAAAACTCAAATCTTAACCGTGTTTCATATCCGATCGATGAATACCCTAGGCCAACAATAACAGTAACAACAACAACACATTTCTACTGCATAAATTGTTATACTACTAATTTATTGACAATGAAATATAGTGATATGTAATTGTGTGCAAAATGGCAGTTGCATTTGAAATTTTTTTTGCTAAAGACGATTTTCAGTTTCTTATTATCATATTTCTTGTAAAAAACTATTAATGTATTCATAATATTTTTCTCGATTCTGTGTATGTAAAAAAAAAAAATCAACTCGTTCAATTTGTACTTTTTAGAAAACAGTAAAAGTTTAACTCACCACTTTTAATGTTGTTTTTTTAAATAATCAAAAGAAATATCCTCTCATGCGAGATATAAGTTGTTGTTTGCTTTTCTACTACTACTACTACTACTGCTAATCATAATAATAATAATATTATTATTATTACTATTGTATTATTCACAGAATAGTTATTTTCATTGTTACTATTGTGCTGTATTATCTTTAAAGCATGACATATGGTTGTTGGAAAGAAAATTAGATTATAAATAAGACAACAGTATATATATATTATATCATGGTCTATGCCACTTGTCTTATATTTTTCAAATGTATTTCTGTGTGTGTAATACTATAGATAACTCTCATTTCCCTCCTTGTCCTCTTTTACTAAGAGTCCAGTTTATTGATCAGTGTATGGTATTTTGTATTAAGAGGTACTAATACTATGGATTACCTCTTACTATGTAGTTTTCTTTTTTTATCGAATGACACAAGGAATTGTTCAATAACTTTTCTAATTTATACTTCCACATTAACCTTTGTTATTATCTGATTAGTTGTTCGTTTTAGATTTCTAATTATGTTATATATATTTCCAAGTCATATATGTCGTTATATGTGAATAGAGTTGTTTCGTTTTAGGAATCCTAACATGTTTCAACGTTAGACTTTATTTTTTCTCTTCCATTAATTACATCGAAGATTATTGTTGATGTAGTGTTTTTTTTTGTATTAGTCTATTTAGTTTCTTGTGACAAGATTCTCTCGATTGTCTAAAATATTTCAAGCTGTCATAAATTGTCACCATTTTGTTTAATTTATAGAAAAGTTGTTTTTTTACCAATAAATCTTAATCCTTTCTCTTAAATAGCATGTGATGATTTACAATGGGTGCTTTATTAATTCTAAGTGCAAAACAAAACACACAACTGAAACCCACAAAGTTTGTTGCAGTATTCATACAATTGAATAAATAATAATGAGTAAGAAAAAGAAAACTGTTTGAGCAGGTTGTAAAATTCACCGTTATTGATCTCAACAACAAAACATTAATGCATTCATCATGCACAACTTAATGGTAGTTGAGTTAGTTGATAATTTTTTCTAAATTTAACCTATTTCTTTTTTTTTTTTTCATTTCAATCGGATTGTTACGCAACTTTTCACACTTTTTAAATTCAGGTTTTATGTATTTTCAGTAAAATTTATGTATTACATAGGAACTAGTGTATGTTATATAATTGTTTATTTTTGTTCTTCTTCTTCAATTCATATAATCATTTAGTTGTTTATAACACATTATTTAAATAGACCGATAAATTCTTTCAAAATGTTCTATATATTGAATATTGTTATATGTGTTTATACAAACTATGTGATATATTATAGTATGAAACATTTTAAACAATCTAATCATAGATATGCATAGACTTGTTTGTTCAGAAACAGAATAAGTAAATAACAGAAATAATATAGAAAGAATCATAACATGCTAATTATGAAAATCATCATTATCAGGATATATTTAGACTGTTGTTAACGGAACATTTTGAACATAGAAAAGAAGTCTGAACTTTCGTATGGTTAAGGCTTCAATAAACAATAAAGACATTTGAACACTAAACAGTCTGATATGATCACTTCCTTATGACTTATCTCAACCAAATGTTTCTTGATGAAAGAAAATATGGTATTCTGTTAGTTGACTATTGGAATTCACTTACATATTTTTGTAACTGCTTAAATGTTCATTCCAGCCACACACACAGTTTGACGAAGTTGTTTTAGCTTTTTCGAATTCAATCATTGAAAACATGACACAACTATAAGGCTGGTATAGTTGTGTTTGTGTTCGTAGTGTTTCTTTTTATCCAGTTATTGTCAACCATTTGTATGTTGTATAATAGTGATTTGTTATACTTTTTCTGTTGATAGTATTCTTGTGCAACATTTATAGAAACATTATTGATATAATTATTATTGTCTATATGTTCCATTAGTGTTTTAGCGGTTATCTCTGTTGATTGATTATTCAAAGAGTTTGTTCCCTTTTTTTTGTTAATATAAATCACATAATTCTGATATTGGAGAAAATATTGTAAATGAACAAAGAGTATCATCTTTTCAAAATTCCATGAAATATAATGAAATTTCATGTATATGTTGTTTGTTATGAATAATGTGATCTTCATTCATTTGTAATTTGATTTAGTTTGAACAAAATTGTACCAAATAGATATATAAACATTCCATAATCTTTATGCCATGAATAAGATAAGCAACCATCGATACAAATATTATATTCAACAGTTGTTTATAATCTTTAAATCAGACTTTATTCAAATTATAATCAATTGTCGATTTGTTCATTTCTTTTTTTTTTATCTCCAAAAAAGGAATACAACAAATTTACAGACTGTAAAACCAAATGAACAAAAGTAATTTAAACAACAAATCATATTTATTTGTTCTATGTTAAATTTTTTGGACAAAATCAATGTTTATAGTCTTGATTTAAAGGCAAGTAGTTGGTGCAACAGAATCGATAAATTCGTTAAAATGGCTTGATTTTTTTTTATACGATCGATCGAATAAATCGATAGGGTAAAAGTGGGAAAGCGTAACAAAATGTTCAGTATGAAAAGAACCTTTTCTGTCTTTTGAGCGGATTAATAACGATTTAATCAGATAACCCAATATTGAATAGTTTTGAAGCGAAATTTTCTGTCAATAGTTATTTCATTGAATATTGATGAAAATTAACTGAACTTGTTGATTTGATGTTTACACAGAACGCACTTACTTTTCAAAAATTACGTGTTGCACAGATCCGAAACTCATTCCGTCTATTTCAATTTGGACAGTTAATGTTATTGTTATTATTATTATTATTTGCCCCCGAGAAGTAAATTGACTATTTGACAAATGTTATGCATTTACGTCGTAAAGTTTTATTTGTTTTGTGAATGTACACCAGGTAAAGAGTTTTTTAATAACAAGAAATAAGTATCTGATACCTTCTCATTTTCATCAATTGCTAAACTACGGTTAATTAATGAATGTGAATCGTAAAGAATTAAAATTCTTTACAAATTCCTTGTGTATATTAATGACTTCTATTTTTGTCAGTTTTTATAATATAGCATAAAAACCATTCATTCATATTGTAATCTATGAATTAATGTTTTTAATTTCAATTTGAATAATCTCACTAACCTCAGTTTTGTTTTGATTTGGAGTGATTTCACATAGAAATAGATAAAAATCACAGTGAATTTATCACCTTGAAATAGAATTATGTTCCATTAAATCACTATAACTCAGAGGTCAAATTTAACCCATATGTAACAGAGTTGATACAGTCCATCCCATTATAATGATTAAAAAAATGGATGATACTTACATTGTTGAAAATTTTCAATAAGTTACGTTGAAATCACTGAGAAGATTTGCATCAAAATTATGTTCGATTAGACTGTTGTTCAGTTTTATGTGCAAGTGTACTTTTTGATTCTTTGACTTAACGTAATGATAATATTTCATTGACTTGTAATTAATTTTGTTTGCTGGACAAGACTCTATATTGTCACAAAAATAGTTGAAGTTGAAAATATAGGCATTAGAACTCCTCACTGTTAGCTTAGTGATAAATGCTCGCTAAGAGGCTCAAAGACCTTATTATATGTTCTTGTATTTAGATATGGCTATAAATTACAAAGGAGTTGGATGAATGACCATGATTAAAAGCGTAAATAACGAAGTGCATGCTTAGTTTAGGTTCAGCTTTCTCTGAAGTCCCTGTATTCTACCCTCTATGGAGTTGTTGGTACGCACTGCTAAGAAGTTTCATGCTAGAGCGAAACAACCGTCCACTGCTTTCTGATTTTCAATAACTGTGTGACTAAGGTCGCCTTATGGATTAGGCTATGAAAATCAATTTGTATAAGTCCTTTACACTTATAAACTCATGACTATCAGTCTACTGTGTACAGTTTAATTTAAGAATAGAATAAGTATATCATGACAAAAGTAAATAGATAATTATTAGGGAAATAATGATTAAGATGTTAATAGTAGCCATCATTTAGGAGAAAAGCATAGAATAATTTTAGATCGTTAAAGTGAACATTCCATTCCAGACAATGCTTTATAAGCATTCAAAAAAAACTATGTTTAATTCGACTGTTTCCTTGAATTGTTCAGTTCAATCAAATGACTGGTCTATGAATTTCTTAGATTTTGTTTGGATTATCTAAGAAGTTCAATGTGATGTATGAGTAAATATCGAGAACTTTAGTTCAATACATAAACATCACTATACAGATCTACTCTTCACCATTGAACTATGTTTAAGTTTCACTTTGTAATATCATCTATATGTTTAGCTTGATGAAATTCTAGAGAACTGTTAGTGTAATACAACATTGGTTGTCAGTTTATTGCATATATCACATATAAATCAAATGATGATGATCATGTAGTGAAGAAACGCTTTTAAAAGAGCTAAAAACCATAAAGTAATTTCAACTAACTAAATTGTATATAGAATGTATACTTTCAATCAAGATAGAATAGTGAAATAGTTTTTATCTTACCAATTTTTTTTAAAAAAAAAATGAATAAGCGATCATTTGGTCTACATCATCGTAATGCATTGAGTTTATGCTCTAAACATTCTATATCTCATATATTTTACTGTGTGTGTTTGTTTATCTAGAATAGCATATTGATGTGTTTATATGGTTAATAGAGTATTTTATTTCTCCAAAAAACCATATTGTTCATTGTTATCATTTAATGAACAAAGAAACTTGTGTAAACCAACAATTTCAAACTACTTATGTATATTTCACACTTGATATTGTTATTTGTAAATTTCCTATTCGAAATTTCTAATATTCATGATTTAAATTAATTTTTTAATCAGATACTTTTTTTTTCTGTCAGTATATAATGATCTCTCCTTTTTTTTCATGTTAAAATATTTAATGTTTTCTATTCATTAAATCTTTAATGGAATCATGTACAGTTTTATTATAAAACGTTTTGTTATCATGATAATGATTTGCTTTGTGAACACTGAAAATTGAACTCGGTTTTAATTGCTTCCAAAAAAAAGGAAAAAGAAAAT